TAGCAACATCAGCACGGCAAAGGAAGGGCAGAAATATTTGAAGTCAAGGGATAGCGATTGCTGTATGAGTCTTACGATTTTTGAATCAAGCACGGGCAACGCCGGGCCACGCTGCTCGCATCGATATTGTTATGTATAAAAGTAAAAGACAATATGAAAACTGTATTATTAGCCGACGCGTTTCGCCCAATGTGGACTTTTTCAAGGCGTCGGCTAATAATAGAGTTTTCTTATTCTTTTTTACCTTTATACATATTGTCATTTTCTACAGTTTAACTCTGAGAATTTCTTCATATAGATTTATACAATGAAGTGTAGATGGACAATATTTCTTCCTTATCGTGTTCCCTTCCAGATAGATTGACACTGCTTATTCATATTTGCCAGTACGTATAAGATTCTTTCACTCTGCCAGTATATTAACAAAAGTCCACGATTCTACATCCGGCAGCAAGACCTCTAATGGGGTGATTGAAGGTTTTGAGGAGAGGGAAACTACCTTTTAATTGATGTTGTTCCCAGGTTCACCCTGACCCGAGGTGGTAGCTTCTGTAGGGTACCAGCTTTTGGCAAACAGTGAACCCGAGAATACTATGAAAGTATAAAAATACATTTTTATTGTAAAAATACCAACAATACATTTTTATTACCATAATTATAGTAGAATTACCAAAGATACATTTTTAGAGCAAAATTACCAAAAATAAACTTTATAGCAAAATGACCAACAATACATTTTATCTGTAGTTGAATCTGTAAAAAGTTCAAAATATTTAGATTTCAGCATTAATTAACCCACAGAGGTTGATATGCCGCTAAACAAATCAACTAAGCAAACAAACAACATGAAAGAACTCCATATAATTCATATAATATCCTCCAATTTCTAAATGAAATCAAACTGTATTCCCAAAGAGAACTTTAAGAAAATACAAATTAAAACACACATCACCGACATTTGTAATTATGTTTACACAAACATGTATATGCGCTAAAGCTACCATATATTCAAGAGTGAATGCAGAATAGCATATCATATTTTTATTACTTATAACCCTCAATAAAATATAATTTCAGCATTAAATAATCTATAAGTTGTTCTGCTGTTAAATAAATCAATTAAATCCACAATTGTAACTGTTTATCTAACCTTTTTCAAACAGGAAACATTGGACATTCATTAACCGAATAGTTAACATTACGGCTGTCTTGAATTTATAAACAGCATTCCATTGGTGAGAAGTTAGTGAAACTGAAGCAGATTCTTCTGTAGAAACGACTGCCAAGAGAATATTTTTCCCGATCATTACAATCTTAACCTGTTCAAGTCTATGATTATCTCCCCCACCTATCCGCATAAACTTTGCCTATTAATATAATTCGAGTGGCTCCCAGTCCTTGTACAGGGAGAATATCACTGCGAAAATTTTTTCGGGTATTTAGAACTCTCAAATTCAGTAAATGTTATAGCTTCTTTTTTTACAGTGTTTCTCAATTCTTTGAGGACATTTACATGAATTTAGCAAAAGACACATAAATTACGAAAGAAGAGCTTTATTTGAGAAAGAATTGGCATCTTGAATATCTACTTAACGCATCTAAATGAATCTGTCGTTAGCATAGATGACTACAAAGCCTGAAACATTGGCATGTCCGAATCAGATGAACTTTATCTATTTGGAACATTGTGCTAGTTATGGTGGAGTTCAGAGATTTTATAGTATTATGAGGGTGTTCGTTGACTTCCCTCTCGACTACCTCCCATGCGTAGTAGCACAACGGATTCAAATTTGGAAAGCTACGAGGTCATATGTTTTCTGTTGGCATGCTCGTGGTGATTGTAACTCATCCATTCTTGGGTCGTCTTGAGACGGCGCAGAGTCTTGTTGGTAGATGCATGGTCTTCCTTTGCTCACGCTCTCACAAACCTTACAAACCTCTACAACCCCAAGTCTGTATGACTGTCCAGACGTCCTTACGGTCTCTGCATAAATATCTGTCATTCGTTCAGTTGACTTTTTCCTCTTGACCAAAGATTTTCTTAGAGAAAAATCAAAGCATTCAAGATTCTTGATTTTTCAACTTGCTGCACAAGAGCTTTGGGTGAATCAGACGGTTATCTTGTGTCTTTGCAGACATGAATTGGTATGTCCACATCATATATGACTTGTATCTAAGTTCCTCATGCACAATCCTTCTAACAAAGTTCGTTGAAATTTTGATCTTCTTACCAATGGCGTCAAGTGACTTTCTTAACGATAATTTTCTACACCTTTAGTACAAATCTGTGTGTTCTAATGACATTAGAAACTTTAGAAGTTGTCGTCCATTTAGCTACTACTGTAGAATCCCTGTCAAGCCCTTTGAGACCTTTAACGACAAATGGCTATTCAACTTTCTGGAATCGAGCAAATACTAATTGTTATTCTATGCTTTTAAGGCAATGATTATAGCGTGTGTTTTCATTTGCTGAGTTAGCTTGATGTTTGTCATCATTTATATGAAACGAAATGATAATCAGAACAAAATAGAAAGAATTTAGTGCTATTAAAAGACGTGTCCTAAAAGAACTTATCAGCCCTGTGCTATTATGGGATTTTTCTTCCAAACCTTTGTTTTATTTAGTGTGGAAAGTCGATATATTGATTATATCATTATCTCGCCTGCTAGTTACATGTATTACCCACTTTGGTTCTGCTGTTATTATTAATTAAAGCGATGTGTTTTTTTTTATTGTTTTTTTTTTTTTGTATTTAGCAAAGCTCTTGGTTTTTGATTTTATAGCGTCAGCCTGTATAGTCTGAAGAAGGATTCATTCGCTTGAAGCTATTTTACATTAGTCATTTGAAAAAACAAACGGCCTGCATATAAATGGCATTTTAGACATTTCTGAACGAATTTGAGGCCAGGCATGACATCCATATGAGATTCTAGATCTGACGAAGCTATTTAATAACTTTTTTAATGTTTTAGTTTGGTAACATCTTGCGGTGTTGGACAAAATAAACCTAGCACAACGAGTGTCTGTTCAATTTCTTTATTTCCTATATTACATGTGTTATGATCAATCCATAGCCTGACGTATTAGAAATGTTTCGAATGTATTAATTCAACATTCTGAATTTTGAACCATTTAACGTTTTCACTCTATATTGCAACATTCGACTCACTTCCAAGATTTGAAGCACATTTGCTTTTCGTTGATATAGCAACGTTACGGTTGTTCCATTCTGCGACCCATTTCAGGAGCGAAACTAAGATTCTTTTATTTTTCAGGACAATGGTAGGAAACTAGAAATAAATTTTGGAAAATATACTCATTGCAAGAATAGAGAAAGTATGGTCATCAGCAAGAGGAAAAGCCTAAGATGCGTGTTACGAATTGGAAATATGAACATCAAGCAGTTGAAGGTGTCAAATAGCTTCGAAGCGTTTTAACAGAGGATGAAAAATGCGATACAGAGATTCAGACACGCATGAAACTAGCGAAAGAAGAATTCCTAAAGCTAAGCAAGGTGCCGAGAAACGGAAAAATGTCGTTAGAAAGAAAACATTCTGGATTGCTATGTAATATCCAGTCTCTTATATTGCAGTGAATTTTGAACTATCTCTCCAAGGATGAAGAACAAAAGACTACAGCCAGCAGAAATGTGGTTCTAGGGAAGGATACTGAAAATTTTATGGCCGAAGCGCATAAGCAAGAAGAAAGTTTTAAAGGAAATGGCAAAAGAAAGATTACTTATATTTAAAATCAAGAAGAGAGAGCTGAAATTCCTTGGGCACTTTTTAAAATCATTTCACCCCAAACAAGGCAATAAAGCCACTAAGACACAAGAGATTACTGAGTGTTGGAGAATATGATAAAAAAAAAACCACTATTAGGAGGTAAGATAATAAAACGACAGACATTAAGAAGATAAGAGATAATGATTGACTTAGAGTCTGTCTATATTTCTGAGATGAGGTATTATGTACACATGGCACAGTGGATAAAGGCGTTGGTTAGATCCAATGACAGGACCCAAAGAGGTGAGTTCAATACCCGGTTAAGGCAGTGGAGAACTTTCAGACGGGAATTAACAGGCGATAACTGATAACTGACATCCATCAAACATGGCACGTGGAATTAGAACAGTCTACCCCAGTGAGCGAAATAAAGGGTTCAGTTCGACATTCCAACCACCTGAAGAAGGCCGGAGCGTACAACGATAGATAGATATGGCGGAAAAAAAGATGAGGTCAATAGTCCAAATAATGTAAATAATGATTGCCTTAGTATTTGAATTTTAAAGATCAAAGTTGATAAAGATAATAGAAGGCTTGGAAAACGTAACCTTCACGTAGCATATTGACGGTAAAGGAAAGGCAGCGGGCCGCTTACCTTACTTAGCTTGTTTGAATGGATGGCAGAACAAGGGGCAAGGATCTTATCAAAGGGAGGACATTTGCTAAGAGCCACTACACGTGATAGAAAGTTGTGACGAGCTATGATCGCCTACGTCCTAAAGGGACGAGGTACATAGAAGAAGAAGAAGAAGATTAGCCCATACCCATGAACGCGTATAACATAGCTGATTTCATTGTCAACAGGCAAATGATTCCATATTTTTATCCGCAAGGATGCTTCTATTGCTCAGAAAATAAATTTAAATAGCGTTGAAAGACACACAGGACTGACATTCTCCGTTATGGTAATGTACCCCTCTTTATTCAATTGACTTACCACTGTGTGATGTCCACTAGCAATTATGTAGACATTATCCCAGGTGTTGGGGTGAGGGAATTGGGTGATCCGTGTCCTTCTAAATATAGTCTGCGATGTAAAGTCTCTGCTTCCCTTTTGTAAATGGATTTCTGATCTTTTTGCCTTTAGAAAAGATTGTCTTACTCCTGCAAACCATCCCGATGTTATAACATCAAGAAAACTTCTCCAAAATGCAGCAGATACTTGATTTCGTTTCTGTTGCATTTTTCTCTCATTTTTTCAACAAATTCCAGTCTTGCAGCCACAACACATTGAATCACTGGTTCCCGTACGATCACCAGAGTTAAGCAGCGTTGAACCTAAGTCAGTACCTAGATGGGTGAACGCTTGGGAATACTAGGTACAGTATGTGGAGATGATGTAACAGATAATGACACGGATTTTTTCTTTGAGCTGAGTTCCAATTCCCGTTGCGTTCGTTATATTCGCTTAAACGGAAATACTCTTGTGAAAGGTACGGATCCACCTCTTCTTTCCTTAGCTATGGGTTAATTAGTTAGACTTGAATCATTAAACTATTATTATCTAGAAAAAATTTTACAATCTAAAACATTTCCTGGTTTGAAAATTGTCGATAAGCCGTAAAAACAAATTCCCTGCCTTTCTTTCCTCATCTTTTTATTTTTCTTTTTTTCATCAAGTTGTCAGATAATTTGATTATTTTATTCTATATTGTAAATATATTTTAATCATTTCACCCCAAGCAAGGCGGATATGCAACTTGTACGCAGAAATTTACAGGGCATGAAAGAGAGAGCTAACTGTGTGTAAGGAGGACTGAGGAAATAAGAAAATATGAACGGGATTCAAGACAGGACAGTTTGAAGAGGCGGATTATGATTTTTGGGAGCCCTTAGGCTAAGGAAATTATGGGCCTCCCCTTAAATGAAGACACTCTCTAACTCTCCAGGACATTTTACATTGCTTGAAGTAAACTTATTGCAAATTCTTTAAAAGAAACTAGAGAAGCTATCTTTTGTTTGTCAATAAAAAATATTCTTTAAGAAATACCATTATTATTTTACTATAAACTATACTGTAAACCAAATTACTATAAACTATACTGTAAACCAAATTAGCACATATTTCTACACAACCGTAGTAAAAAAAAAAATATAACTAAGCTTGAGGTTCTGTCTATATTTCTGAGATGAGGTATTATGTACATTATTTACATTATTCGGACTATTGTCCTCATCTTTGTCGCCATATTTATTACAACGTTTCGGCCGTTGTACGCTCCGGCCTTCTTCCTCAAGGACACATGTCACAGTGGATAAAGGCGTTGGTTAAATCCAATGACAGGACCCAAAGAGGTGAGTTCAATACCCGGTTAAGGCAGTGGAGAACTTTCAGAGGGAAATTAACAGGCGATAACTGATAACTGACATCCATCAAACATGGCACGTGGAACTAGAACAGTCTATCCCAGTGAGCGAAATAAAGGGCTCAGTTCGACATTGCAACCACCTGAAGAAGGTCGGATCGTACAACGGCCGAAACGCTGTAATAAATATGGCGACAAAGATGAGGACAATAGTCCGAATAATGTAAATAATGTAAGCTTGAGGTCGGTACTAGACTGCATCCTATACTAGCCAGACGGATAATCTAGCCCTGATAATCGTTGAGTAATTCGAAATCAATGATCCGAGGTCAGATTCTTACATCATTTCTTGTGTTCCTTTTCGAACAAGTGTTATTTAGAAAGTCATGTATCCATATCTTCCCCCGCCAACTATGGATTAAAGAGCAAGATTGAGTTCTTTACTCTTGTGTGTTAGCCAGTCTAGGAATGAAAAAAACTCTGAATTCAAAATCAAAGGCACTGGGAAAGAACCTCTCTATCTTTCCGAGTAAGTCCTGGCATATTGCTTCGAATACTTCTGCCTCATATGGTCTGGTGCACGTGCTATTTACCTTGAGCTCCTTGATAAAATCCAAATAAGAATCAGCAATATTTTTGGTCCTGATCTGGCGACTCTAGTTCACTCACTTTCCCACCGCCGTAACGTTTCCTCTCTGTGCCATTTCTATAAACACTTTCATGGTAAATGTACGGATGAGCTCTTCACTATCGTACATAGACTTTTTGAATTTAAGCGCAGTACTAGAATGGCGTCTAGATCTCATCAATTTACAATTGAACTGGATGGATGTAACCGTAAATTCTATGCTAATAGTTTCTTTTCTCACACTTCTCACTTCCGGTTCCATGCTTTCCAGCCGTCAAATCTGCAAAGATTTAAATGCAATGTCAGTCTCTATCTACTCCCTTCCTGATGACTCGTTATTAATGTTTATGTCCTTCCCGTTCATTATTAATGTTTATGTTCCTACTTCTTCCACACCCTGTAACTTCTTGTGTCTTAGTGGCTTTATCACCTTGAATGAAGTGATACCGATTAAAAAAATGAATTAATTTTAGATATAAGAAACGAAATCTATGGACAGCCATGATCATTTACTCATGAAGAAACGTGGCACTAAACATTTTTCAAATGTTTGCAAGCATTAACTCGGCCAATTCTGAATTTGCTATCTTCAGTAATCGTAGTTGTATGAACTGCCAAGCATTTCTCACAATATATGAACAGTACCCAGATAGGTTCCTGACTTGGTCCTTATCATTATGGAAACAAGTGTATGAAAACTTACCGTCAGGCGCACATGTCTATCACAAGGCATACAGTTTATCTAAGCAAGCAAGTTTTGATATATATATATCTGTTTACATTTCTGGGATGAGGTGTTGTTGTACGCTCCAGTCTTCTTCAGGTGATTGGAAATTCGAACTGAATCCTTTATTTCGTACACCGGAGTAGATTGTTCCAGTTCCATACCTCTTCCGGTCAAGTCACTGAATCCAACCAACGCTCTTATCCACTGGACCACGTATCCTTGAATAGTTGTATGTTCACTACCTGGCTACTGCAGTGCTGAACAAAAACTTAGAAAGTTGAGTTAAAGGAAGATAACTGAGACATTCGGAGGAGGCCTGATATGTGGAACTAGATCAATCTACCCCGGTGGACGAAATAAAGGGTTCAGTTGGAAATTTCAATCATCTGAAGAATGCTGGACGTACAATGGCCGAAACGTCGTGAATATGGCAATAACGATGAGGACATCAGTCCGAACAATGTAAATAATGCAGATAGAGACTTGTGTTTGATGCCTAACTATGAGAACCTGGGAGTTTAATAATGATATATTGATACCTGTGAAGACGGTGTTAATGTATAGTGCCTCTGGCTGGACATTAACTAAAACCCTGGTGTCTAAGCTTGATGGAACTTACACTCGGATACTGAGAGTGATATTAACATCTCTTGAAGACGACCTTCAACTACATCATAGTTCTATGGACCCATTCCTGCTATTTCTAGTCTTACGTGAAAGCAGAATACGTTTTCTAGGACAATGCTGGCGAGCAAAACAAGAACTGGACACCTAGCCATGGAGCAAAACGGGTTGGTCGTCCTACAACCACCTACATGACACATAACTGTTATGACACAGAATGCCACCCTAATGACCTTCAGAACATGATGCAGGGCCGTGATGGTTGGCGTGATAAACACATGAATGTTCGAGCTAGCTCGACCGAATAATACTAATTCTTAAAAAATAAAGTGCAATTTCATTTTATTCAATTATATTTTCATCATTTTTAAAATGACATGTTGCCACTTATCAGAAAAAGATTTCGGTAAATTCTTGAATTTCCTTTTCATTTGAGAAAAATTTCCCCGTGAAATAGTTTTGCATCAATCGAATTTTACTAATCGCTTGGTGTAAGATCAGGTAAAAAAAACGAATTGAGTTGAACAAACTAACTGAATTTCAAAATGTTTTCCCGAATTATTCTTAGGGTACTATGCCCATACATTGTGGTGTAGGAGAACAATATTTTTTTTTATTTTTCTTTCTTTACTTTTCCTTCTTTTTTTATTTTTCTTTCTTTACTTTTCCTTCTTTTTTATTTTTCTTTTTTCTCTATTTTTTTTCTTTCTTTTATTTTTTGCATCCATTCTTTCAGTCTTTCTTCTTTTCTTTCACTTCTTTTCTTTTTCTTTTCTTTCCTTCTTTCATTTTCTTTCTTTTCGTTTCTTTCCTTCGTTCTTTTTATTTATTTCATTTCATTCTTTTTCTTTCTTTTCTTTTTTCTTTTCTTCCTTTCTTCCATTCTTTCTTCTTTCCTTTTTTAGTCTTCTCTTTTCTTTCTTTCTTTTTTATTTTATTTTATTTGAATTATTTTATTTCGTCCTTTCTTCTTCTTTCTTTTCTTTTTCTTTCTTCCCTTTTATTTATTTCATTCTTTTTTCTATTTCATTTTTTCTTTCTTTCTTCCTTTCTTTTCTTATTTTTATTCTTTTTGTTTCTTTTTCTAATACTTTCCTTTATGTCTTTCTTTATTTTTCTTTCTTCCTATTTCTTTTTATTTATTCATTTTTTCTCTATTTCTTTATTTCATTTTTATAGTTACTTGATTTATGTTGCTTTTTTATATCTTTATTTCTTACTCCATCTTACGCTGTCTAATTTAAACTAAAATCCATTAAAAAGCAGAATACATCAAACATTTTTTTAAATGTAGAAAAGACGGAAAATTAAACCACAATAAATAAATAATGTAAGTAAATTCAACTACTTACATAAATTTTATTTACTATCATCGAAATCTTGAATTCTAAAAATTCGTGACTGTCATCTATTCTTGCAAGGGTTTCCGTTACTATGGTGATATAGTGGATGCTTGCTTAAAGTGCCTCCCAAAATTTCCCTTTGAATATAACGCGAAGGTACTTTATGTTCGCCGTGGTATAATTTGATTAACATTTCTTTTTAGTGTTTAGTTTCATGTTTTATTTATTTATTTTCGCTTTTTCTTATTTCTTTTTTTATCCCAGAATCGTTTGTTTTCTTTTACGTGTATTTAATTAGAGTTTACTTTATTTGTTTTCTTTATTTTTCCATTATTTCTTTATTAATCGATGGGTAATACCAACTATCTCAGCCACAGAGCAAATTTTCTTCAAATCTAAAATTTATATTTCTTATTTCATTGCCCTACCCCCGTTCCTAATTTTAATCTAAGTTTTTTGCCTCACCTTTTCTTTCGATACGACATTTAAATTTACTTGTCCTTTTTCTTTTCCTTTCTTCTTTTACTTCTTTCCTTTTCTTCTCACGTTCATTCTTTTCACTTCTGTCCTCTTTTTCGCACTTAATGTCGGAGTCCACCTAAGCGACAAGTACACTTCTCCACTCACTTCTTATGCAGCTGCCATATTCCAGCAGCAGAGGCCATCTTCTGACCCTCTGTCCACACTGATCGGATCAGTATTTCTTCATTCAATGCAAATTTAGTAACCAACTGCACAACACCAACAAGGACGCCGCTGCCAATGCGAATGCGGGCATTGCGTCGGCCATTTTTACATTCACTACCTTCAGCGTCATCATTGTTGTATGAACATCCAATCAATCCTCAGAGTGTGGGAACGCTGCCCAGATATGTTCACGACCTGCGTTTCTCAGTACTGAAATGAATGCATCAAGACTTACTCACGTGCCTTCAGACACACATGGGTATAAAGAAACACACACGTAGGCGCACGCACGCACGCGCACACACGCACACGCACGCACAAATCTATCATTTGTCCATGCAATGAATATTACTGCCACATCCGGTCTGCTGCTTCTGCATTGCATTTAAACATTGTTGATAAATCCAAAGAATCTGCAATATTATTGCTCCTGTTCTGGCATCTCAGCGTTAGTCACTTTCCTACCGCTGTGCATCTTCTATAAATATTTTCATGGTAATAATTACGATGAGCTTACGCTTTTGGTCTTCATGTACTGAAGTTCAATACTAGATTGGCGGTAATGTCTCATCATTTTACAGTTGAAATGTAACCGTTAGCTTATTCTCTCGTACTTCTGGCACTTTCAGCTTCTTGCTTCCCAGTCAATTTTGATAACCAAAAGTTTTGATGCAATTCCTATCATCATCTTGTGTCTTCTTATTCCCTGCTTTTTATTGCTCTCCATCCTTAATAATATTTTATTTTTATTTTATTATTTCACACTCAGTAACTACTGGCATATTCGTGGCTTTATTGACTTGCTTTTGGTAAAATAAGTAATATATATATATATATATATATATATATATATATATATATATATATATATATATATAATGTTAATTGTCAGAGTTGAATCAGACCAGAAAACAGTAGTATTAAAAAGTGCTCAATACGTGTGTAAAAAATATAAATAAAAGTAAAAATAACATATAGAGTTTTTAGCCTTAAAAATCAGGAGGTCAATTAAAATACGCGACCTTGGTTTCGACCTGGCAGCCTCTTCGGGCGATAGTTTTAAAAATGACCACCTTAACGCTTTATTAAAAAACAAACAAAAACACAAAGGACGCTACATGGAAAATAATTATGTAGCGTTCATTGTGTTTTTTTTAAATAAAGCGTTAAGCTGGTCATTTAAAAAATATCGTCCGAAGAAAAACTCAGGTCGAAACCAAAGTCATATTTTAATTCACCTCATGATTTTTAAAGCATATATATATATATATATATATATATATATATATATATATATATATATATATATATAATATAAAAAACAAAAAATGTGTTACAGCTGATTGATGTTACAGCGACTCTGGAGTTTCGAAGACGGACCTTTTTTGTACTTGTTCTGTCCACTCTTCAGGAGCTTTCAGATTTTATGAAGAGGAAAACCTTTAATACCAATGCATTTTATTCCTTGAGGAATTTTATCAACGCTAGCGTAGAAATTTTATTCAGTAACTTGTATTTATACACAGAAGTCACTTCGAGAAAAATAAAGTTTAAGTTTGGAATCCGAGAACGCTCTAAAATGTTTTTGAAAATCTTTCTGTGTAATCCAAAGTTAAAATATGGAGGACGTTAATTGACATATTTTTCTTTCTATCAAACAAAAGTGGGTTAATGCTGTTGCTGTAGCCGATGCTTATATACAATATTTATTTATTTATTTATTGATATGCATCTTTATTTTATTTCATTTTATTAATTAATTGATCATTTTATTTATTTTTAAATCTGGTGACTTAACCACTTCCTTTTATTTTTTTAAGATTTTATGATCATGTATAAGCATGTTGCATGGAGAAATTTATAATACGATAGACACTTATCAAAATAAATAAAAAGTACTAGAATTTTTTACCCATTTTTAAGCTTAACATTTTAAATATATGCAAAGTAATGCTTAGATAATGTTCAATGGACTTATCTCATTTACCAACAAACATAACACCGCTTATCAGGGTCAGATGGTCCAATAAAACTATTGACTTATTAACAGATATCATATATTTATACACCACCACAGAAATACAAATCATAGACGCCAAATTAACGGTGCCTTTTCCAAAATTCAAAATTTGGAGCCAGCGATTACCGTTTCGTTTAGTGGTGCACGTATTTCAAACTTGAATTTTGGCATCTACGTTTACATTGTTCGTCTGCATATATTTACGTGGAATCCTTTTTCCTAAATTCAGAAATGGTTTCCTTTTCCCTGACGATTACGAACCGCATACAAAATTTGGTTGATTACACAAGCATTAAAAAGATAATATGCTTAAGTTACACTTCTAATATTTTCCAAACATCCCACAAGAAATAGCGCTGGATACTTTTGCATCAGGCTAATAGTATTAAATGAAGAATTTGTTATTGAGGAAAGTGAGTGGCTTTAAGCTGGTGCGAATAAGCACCAAGCTTGTGGATAACCGAAACGAATGAAGAGTTTTAATGTCCGGAATAATGATGGTGACAGTAGGTCATGTAATGGCGAAGTGGTTAGTTTAAAATTGGTTGCTAAGGAGATGTTAGTGCAAGTGGTGACGATGATAAAAATTTCGACATATTGATAAAAGGGATGAAGATGGAAGTGTTAGAAATTGTATTAATAGAAATTCGGGTGTTAACACTGGGCTGCACGAAGAGCCAAGGATTACGATGAAGGGAAAGTGAAGTGGTCACTTTATTTGTAATGAAGATGGTTGATGCTCGTAGTAGGATTGATAATTTGAGCATCTCTAAAGGTTCGGATTCAAAGAAAAAAAGAAAGAATAAGAAGCAGAAAGAGTAAGCAAAGGTCGATGGAGAGAAACGTGAGGGAGAGAGAAGTGTTTGACGATGAATGTTGGCATGATTAGTATGGGAGACTCTTGTGCTTGTAGTGATATTGGTAACTTGGCAGTTAACAGATAAAAGCGAATAAGACGAGAGAGAAAGAAGAAATAGAGAGAGAAGAACCAATATAAAGGGATATAGAGGGGAAGGATAGTCGATGATCGAAGGGACGAGATGACCTATACATGACTCATATCAAGCAAGTTACAAATAACTACATCTCAAGTGGACCATGCCACGAATGAGCACCAACCTTTGAGGAGCGTGTGGATGTGTGTGTTGTGCCTGCACCTCTTAATCTTGTTTCGAGGTTTTTAGCTGAGTAACCCGTTGCGCCAGCACAAGGCTTTTGCACGCAACTCAGAAGTGTGTGCATGGAACCGTTTATATGCTCAGTGGATGAAAGGAGAGTTTCAAGTTCAGGAGAATGGATATCTCCCCTATGACAGGCTTTAGAAAGTTCATTACTGCAGTTGTAGGAAAATCTCTAAATTCAAATAACGTCAAATAAATCTTCTTTCTACCGAAACGAAAGTGGGGTTAAAAATCAAACTCCAGAAATATGAAAAAGTTTTAATCTGCGCAGAAGATCTGAAATCAGGTATAGTGGATCATTCATGGGGAGAAAAGAAGTAAATTATCACGATTTGCTAAGCTTAGCTTAGATGTGGCACGAAAGCATGGGGTAAGGATCGAACCCGCTACTCAGTAGTAATTGATCTAGCTGGAAAAGCTTGCTGACAATGACACCACGACGAAGTACACGCAAAGATGACATTCTAAGCGTACCTTAGATCTGGCACAATGTCGAAAGTATGAGGCACCCAGTGAGGATCAAACACACTATTCAGAAGTAATTGATATAGAGGGAAGATCTTTTTAACAATTACACCACGTCAAATTGTCCACAAGGATTTTCTAAGCGCAGCTTACATGTAGCAGATGGCCGAAAGTATGGGGCACCCAGTGAGGATCGAATTCACTACTCAGTAGTAATTGATCTAGCGGGACAAGTTTGATAACAATTACACCACGTCAAAGTGCCCACAAAAATGATTTTCTAAACGTACCTTAGATGTGGCACAAGGGCCAAATTATGGAGCGCCCAGTAAGGATCGAACTTAGTACTCAGTCGTAAATGATTTACCGAGACAAGCTTTCTAACCATTACACCACGTCGAAGTGCCCGAAGCACGATGGAAAGAAGATAAAATAATTGGCATAAAAAGTCTGTGTTGAATAAGAAAATTAAAAGTACGAGTGTATATGTCCTGCTCATATCCTCTAAGTCGACTGAGTGTAGATGTCAGCAGCTATCAGCACTGTCAAGGAGACACTAATTAGGAATATGGATTTCAGTTTTAATATACTTTTGGACTATCCCAAGCAGATTAGGAAAGAAAAACGCTAGCAATCTGGTTGTCTGGAAATGCAGAGTTCAATCCCGAGGTCAGAGAAGCGGAAATATACAGCGGTTCAATGGAGAATCAGATTGGCATCACAGTATCAGTGAGGAGATCTGAAATCCTCCAGCGAACGTGACAGTTAACAAAATAAGAACAGCATGAAACCTCAGATCAAATAATGAGATCTGTTTGATTAACAACGAAGGAAGGCGGAGACGTTTTCTCAAAGACAAAATCTCGAAAATCTAGGTCCGAATGATTTGGTAAATAATAATATTTTTTTAAAATGTGCACCTTAAGATGTTCGTCGAAATTACAGTATTCTGAAAAAAATATTCAGAATCTACCGACAATGCGACACTTAAAAGGCATGAGGATAGTTACGTATGCAAACTACTAACTTCCCGTTCAGGGAGAATGAACAGAAGAACGCGAGATTTCCATAAGATTTGTGCTAAGCTGTTTGGTTAATTCCTCTTAGCAACTAATCAATTAACAGAAAATGCCAAGATGAGAACGATCAACATCTTATTACGCACGTTTTAGTTACATGACTTCACGATAGCTGCTTTTCATTTGTTTTGACGCATTGATTACCAGTACAGCCGTTTTCATAAGACAAGCGATTTTATTCAAATAGAATTTTTGTAGAATTTTTTTTATATATTTTATACTTGTATACAGGTTTTAAACATGACTTGAAGACAGCCATACTGCCGAAATAGTGCTGAAGATTATCAAACACTGTCACTTTTCTTTCCTAAGTGTTGAAAAATATTGAAAGAGTTCCGTCAATCATTTGTTCTTTAATAATAATAATAATAATAATAATAATAATAATCCTGGTAGCCCATGCCATAAAGAAATACAAAAAACTGTACTCACAAGTACAGCTCACACATTACGATGAGCTTTATCTATCTAAAATGAGCGCCATTTTAATTTTTTGGTTGATTTGTTTTGTTTTTAGACGCATAATCGGTGGACAAGCTCATAAAGTCATTTCTGACCTTAGGTCTATGTTTGGGACCCGGAAGGAGATATGTACACAACAGAAATCAAAGATAATAATAATAATAATAATAATAATAATAAAACAGAAAATGACACCTACAATATTTATAAAATTAATTTGTAAACAATCTGTAGGGAGCTAAGGAATGTTATTCAAATTTTAGAAACGGACACTTTTAAAAGTATATATAAAAATATGAAAAATATAATATTTTTGTAGATATGTATAATTTTATAAATATCCATCTTAGTATGTAAATTGACTTATCATGGGTCACAATATCAATCGTTTCAATGAGTGCCATGCGTTTAGGTAATCATTATCTGAACTTGTCTTGTTCAACATTACAACTGATTTGTGAACTTAATCCTCATTGGGAACTCAACCCTTGTGTCATTATGCCAAACTAAGCTAATTAATTTATGTTAACCCACTTTAACAGATACACGTACAAATTGAATTCAGTCTTGACACCGCACCCCTCTCTCTCTCTCTCTCTCTCTCTCTCTCTCTCTCTCTCTCTCTCTCTCTCTCTCACACACACACAGAATACGAAGAGACAGACATCTTTAGAAGTATTGTTATACCCTTTTTGGAGCCGAAGGAAAGGTACCATTCCCAGACAAATATTCGCCGTGGTCTGCTGTTGCCTCATTCTCCAACCGTGGGAGGTCAGAATATAAATTGGCGTTTCCCGCCGGCATTTCGCAACAGGATCGACCCAAGTTGCCTGCTGCTATCGCAATTTTCAGTTAAAACTACCAGAGCGCAATTGTGAGAGAAGAACACAGATCGGAGCTTCAGGCTAAGAAGACAGAAGTCGTAGTCCAATGCCAGTTATGAGGTACATTTAGAAGAATTCTGTACTTTAATTTGGGATAAATATATACCTCCAGCTTACAACTAGTGCTTACAAAATCATTGATCTCCACAGAAACTTAATGTTAGTAAAGAAATCGTTAATAAAGAACAACCCAGGATTATATTGATATTAGAAATTTAAATTGCCGAAAAAGGTGTTCCTCACAATTAACTGCTACGTACTGCTTTCTCTAACCTTACAGGCGTGAACTTCATTCCACACCGGGGTTCAAAAGACAGACGACCACTTTCGTTTTCGTTGTCTGCTGAAATACCCTATTCCCTATGTGAGGTAAAAGGATTTGTTTGATTATTAAATATATATATATATATATATATATATATATATATATACGAGGTCTGATCAAGAAATATCGGCTCTATTGCTATGGTTACAGTGACCTAAAATACGCAGAGTGAAGAAGCTTGGCACAAAAAGACCTTGAATTCTGTCGCGTATGCACACTAAGCTATAATGTTCTCACTCTGTTCTCTTGTTTACAGCAATTCTTAGAAGGAAAGTGTGTAGAGTGTGGTCGTCTCACAATACCACAAAGGTTCCATCAGTGACCATGGCTTGTGCAGCAGTTTTTGATCAAGAAAGACATCCCTCAAAGACAACCATATTCTCCAGATCTCGCCCCCATCTCTTTCTAAAAAAACAAATCCCACTTGAAGGGAACAAGATGTCAAGACGTCGAGGAAATCTAACAAAATGTGACGAGGCAGCTGCTCGCTGTCGCAAAATAAGCAATTCTAGGAATGCTTCCATCCATGGAAAGGACACTGGATAAAGTGTATAGCTTTGGAAGGGGACTACTTCGAAGGAGATTAATTGTCGAATTGGTATGTTATATTGCAGTTTTCTTTTTATAGCACGAGTACTAATACATTTGATCAGACTTCATATATATATATATATATATATATATATATATATATATATATATATATATATATATATTGATAGACATAAGCAAATGTAAAAATTTTAACTTTATAAACAAAATTAAAAATCTCGTTTCAAAAATCTCGTTTAAATTCCAGAACGCCCATAAAAATACTTCAGGCAAATTGAAACTCAACGTCATATATGGAGGATGCTTACAGATGAAATTTAATGTCTAAAAAAGTGAATAAATGTTGCTGTTATTTTTAATCTTTTTTAATAATGGAATTACCATTTATTTTATTTTAGTTTGAGAAATTAATTTATGTATTTATATATTTTATATAATAGAAAGTTTGGAATTTAAATGATTTTTTATTATTTACAATATTATTATAGGCATTTATGTTGGCTTGAGAAATGGGTATAACATTTAGAAAAGGAGATCTTTTAAAAAATCAGGAGCGCTGATTTATTTTTTCATAAGATACAACAGTAGCACTTTAAATAATTTTCGGCCAAAGTAAATATAAACTGAGAAGAAAAGGCCAAAAGACAGACACCGAACTAAACAGTAATAGACAGTGTTAAACAACCAAGATATAGCAATTATGCTACCCAAAATCACGATTCAAAGAGAGACAAAGTTTAGACCGCTATTCGAGTTCCACTCTAACACGATCGTCAGCAGACCAGGACGCGTTTTAATAAACTGACGGTCGCGGTTGTGTGAATCTTAAGCAACGATCTTAACATGCCTCTTTCTTTTTGAGCCTATATATATATATATAAAGATAGATAGATAGATAGATAGATAGATAGATAGATAGATAGATAGATAGATAGATATTATTATTTTAAAACAAAGAGCATATTTCGAAAAATTATCAAAAGATAAGAGACAGAATAAAATATGCTATATATGGTGGAAAAAAGTATGACAAAATGGCGTCACTGGTTTCGTCCTTCGGAACTCCATTGGACTAAATCTGTTCTGGTTGTGCGACTGCACATGTGCACGAACGAAGGATGCTGGAAATTTAAGTTTCTTTTTTATATAAGATCTAACATATTTCATTTATATACTTTTTTCTTTTTGTTGAGTTTAGAACATTTCTAAATTGAACATAAAATTTGTTACTTTTGTATCTAAAACAATAAAAGACTTAGTCAATAATTTTAAAAGACTTACTTAATAAAAGATTTCATCAATAATTTTACAAACAATTCATAGGAGAAACATCAAGATCTAAATAAATGATTATATGAACTCAAATGAGGCATTTTACAAAACAATACATGGAAGACATTGGTTGACCAACGTAATTAGACTGACTACACGTTTGGCATAAAAAAAACGCTAATCTGATCAAAAGAGAAAAATTCCTAGCAGATCTCTTATCACACTACGGGATATCTAATAACAAAAGTGATGACAAAAAAGAAAAAGAATCTAAAAGAAATCGGATACATTATATATATATAATAAAAAAATAAATTTAAAACTCTCAGCATCCTTCGTTCGTGCGCATGTGTAGTCGCAACAACATAACAAATTTAGTCCGATAGAATTCAGAAAGACGAGAAAAGATACCTTTTTCCATTCACCATTTGATTTTTTTACTTTTGTCATGCATGTTTCCCCATATATATATATATATATATATATATATATATATATATATATATATATATAAACATGCATGACAAAGTAGAAAAATCGCACGCACGCACACACACAGAGGAAGAGAGAGAGAGAGAAGAAGACGTATTTTGTCGCCCGGGCTCCATCCCTAAAATCTGGCCAAGTGTCTAAATAAAAACAGTCAAATAAAAATGACATATATCACCTCTATCGATAATTAAATTACCTGATTGACTGATTTTATTCGTTCAGATGAATTTTACTTATTCTCACATCATTATACAATTAAATTGTTAGATACACACACTTAAAATCATTTTAAACGTCTGTTCTGTCGAAGCACATATGTTTTCCTTACCATCGTGTAACCTTTAGTTAGACATATGCTTGACTCGTTTTAATGAAAGAATTGTAACATTACACTATATGAGTGTGCTTTTCTGTGTGTGTATATTGGTGTGAAAAAGATCTTCATTATAATTTTGCCAATATAATGATTAGAATAATAAATATTAATTGCACATTTTATTTAAAATATACTTCATAATTAGAGGTTACTTCTGCTAGATAAGTTCAAGTTGTCATCAATGATTCCATTTCTGTTAACTTTTACTAAAAATGTTTCTGGGATCCTTTCATAATTCTCTCTGTGATATTTTACTCAAATTCTCCCTGTTTTATTGCTCGTGAAGGAAAAAAATGACCCGAGAAAGCAGACACCGGAAGTCCGCCATCCATTTCCGGCATCTCGACTTTGCTGACTTGAAGTTCGAAGGTTGAACGAGGGTTAAACTGTCATGTGACTTCCCCGCGAGATTTACGTTCTGCCGCGTGACTCAGATGTCGGAAGCCATGTCTGTTATTTTCTATTCAATTTTTTTTTTTTTTTTTTTGGTGGTGGAAAGAGAGTTTTTGTTTTCTCTCTTCTTTAAAGCAGATAAAAAAACTTGTTTAAATACATCTAACAAATTGAACCTTTTTTTTTAGATTTTTTTTTTAAAATGTTAGCGTGTGTGTTTTATTCAGTCTCGGACCGGCTACAGTGTTTGTTTGTTTGTGTAAGAGAAGGTGGGTAGGGAAGAAAGTACACTGTCAACAATGATTATGATTCATTTCTCTCTCTTTCTAACTCGCTCTTTCTTTCTTACTCTTTCTTTCTTTCTTTCTCTCTCTCTCTCTCTATCTCTCTCTCTCTCAATTGGTATTTGGATTTTAGACTTCTGTTTTAATTTTTTTCTTTTATCAGTTGGTGCATCATGGCCAAACAACGAACAAAACCGAGTTAATGCTAAAAGGTAGCATCATCTTTCAAAAAAAGCTTTCATTCTACAAATGGATAAATATTTATGACCAGCCTATGCTATTTCTTTATGTGCCGTGTCCCCTCAAGTCGTAGGCAAACATGGCCCTCCACAACTTCTTGCCCCTTGTAGTTCTTAATAAACATTGTCTTTGTGTTATTTCTCCTAAACACTGTTCCGCCATTCATTTACTCCAGTTCACTAAGTATATTATGTGTTGTTTACCGCTGTCTCACTTTCCCTATATCTGCCCTGTGAGTATCAGATTTTCTAAGCCCTTCTACATTATGATGCGTCCCAGAAACCTCAATTGTTTATTTCTAAAAGTATTAGTTTCCTTTTTGTTTCCATTTTCTTCAAAACTACGTTGTTGCTCACATGTTCTGTTCTTGGTATCATCAGCAAACTTCTGTAAAAAAATACTTCTGTTGCTTCAAGTCTCCTTTTCATCTTTTAGAAGATTGTCCAGTACTCACTGCCATACAGTTGGATTTTAGACTTATGTTTTAATTCTTTTTTCTTTTATTATTTGATGCATCACAGCCAAACCCCGAACTAAACGGGTTTCACGCTAAAAGGTAAAAATCATATTTGGAAAAGTGCTTTCCTTCTGCAAATGGAAAAATATTTATGACCAGCTAATAATCACTCCAAAGTAATTTAGTAGTAGCAAGATTTGTAATAAGTCTACTTTATTGGTAAGGTGTAGGAGTGTAAGCACCAAAGATTTACTAAGCTCATCTCGAAGATAATTCTACTAGTATAAAATAAAAGGTTCACTAGAATCTCCGTTATTCTAGATTTGTACCATTCTAAGCTAAGTTTGCTAAATACATACTCCAATTCAGTACAACAGAAAATCTAACGTTAAAAAGCAGACAATGACAGTAAACTAGGTACCTCCAAAGATTTCTTAAAAAATGAGCATACAATGATGAAAAAAGGGCCCACACTTGATATAAACAAAGTTTTATCGTCAAAATGTGTATGTTATTATTAAGAGGAAAGACTAAGTTATTTTTCTTGTCATTTTTCTTAATCCATACTAGCATGTTCAAAATTTTGGTTAAAAATCTTGTTTT